AGCTCCATTTCGACAGGACAATAAAGCAGCGTGATACGAAATAACGTCAAGAACATAAAATCATTGTCCTCGCTCCGGTCCTGTGTCCATCAACCAGTATTCAAGTAATCTCATACTGCTGGTGCAAAGTGTCTTTCCGGAGGCTGGCAACTTCCGGTTTTAGATTTCCTTACCAGCTAGACGCAGAGCTGCGACTGTCGGTCCCTGTTAAGATGATCGCGGAAATTTTGTCACGTAAACCGTACCTTAGAGGCATGTAACCAGAAACTCTCGCGGAAACAACTGAAAACTTGGATTTCCCAACGATATTGTAACTAGCTTAGCTTTATGCAGTTGGTTCAGAGCTTTTTTGTTTTGATAGTTGCTATTTATATGGGGTTGTCCAAAACGGAGGCAGGAAAGTAAACGCATATTAAAACAAGAAAGATTGTTATTCAAATCAAGTTGGGTACTTTATTTTGAAGGTTCATTTATACCATTTATGTATGAAAAATAATATCGCTCAAATGTTCACCACGACTGGATTTACAGACGTCCACGCGATGGTCGAAATTTTCAATGACATTTTGCAACATGGTCGGTTCTATGGCATTTATCTCGGCAATTATGTTGTTTTTGAGTTCTTGGAGGGTGGCTGGTTTGTTGACGTAGACTTTGCTTTTCAAATATCCCCAGAAAAAGGACTGCAATCGATGGATATTGACGTTGGTTGTGTGGCATGTTGCACCGTCTTGTTGGAAATAAACATCGTCCATATCCATTCCTTCAAGTTGCGGTAAAAAATATTCCTCTATCATCACGTGATATCGCTCAGAATTGACGGTAACGGCGTCCCCGGCCGCATTTTCGACAAAGTAAGGTCCGATGATGCCTTTTGACCACAATGCACACCACACAGTCACTTTTTGAGGATGCATCGGCTGCTCTTGATACTCACGGGGATTTTCGTTCGCCCAGATGCGGCAGTTTTGCTTGTTTACCGTCCCATTTAAAGTGAAATGCGCTTCGTCGCTGAACATGATTTTTGATGAAAAATTGGCATCAATTTGGCGGTGTTCAAGGAGCCAATCTGAGAACGTTCGGCGCGAAAAATGGTCGGCCCCACGCAGCTGTTGCGTCAATTGGATCTTGTAGGCGTATACATTCAAATCCTTGTGGAGAATGCGGAGCAAACTGGTTCTCGACGCGTTGTTGATTGTTTCGGATCGTCTCTCACACTCTCCTTCACAACAGCAATATTTTCCGGTGTGCGAACGCTCCTTGGCCGGCCAGACCCTGGCAGATTTGCCACAGAACCTGTTGCTTCGAATTTACGTACCAGACGACCGATGGTTGTTTCGTTTGGGCGGTTGTTGCGACAGAAATGTTTACGAAGCGCGCGAAACGTGGTTTTTATTTTTGCACCATTTTTGTAGTGCTCTTGAATAACTTTATCACGAAGATAGTTGAATTTCCCCAAGTCTCAGAATAACGGTTTCACAATAAAGTGGAAGTTTATCGAAGTAGTTTTTGAAAATTTCTAGGTTATGAATCAATGTACAACATCCATTCAAAGGGTATTTTATAGCGATAAATTTATCTCGTCGGTATCCATTACAGGCCATTTACTATTCCGTCTCGCCACGCTTGTGTCAAAAACGATGTTCTAAAAAACAGTGAAAACTTTGAAATACCACCACCAACTGTAAGAGTCAAGTATAATACTCTTGCTTATTTAAGCTATATACCATTCCTTGTTACCATGGTTTTCAGGGTATGATTCCACCATGATCGGTTAGCTAATAGATAATTTTTTTATTGTTTTTTTAATAAGCTATCGCCTGTACATAAACATATACTTATTTATACTTTATTGTTATTTTTCTATGTATCTTATAATCTGCTGATTGTTAAATGTATAAAAACATGTAAATTACTGATTCTACGATATTTGTAAAGCACTTTTTATGTACATTTAACTGTAACAAAGCTTTGTGAATGTTTCAACACACAAAATCTACTCAAACACCAAAGAATAAATGGATTTGTCTTCAATGGCTGTTTCTATCATGCAGGGTGGCGCATCGAAAACGACACAGACGCATTTAATGGCAGCTCAGTTTTTTTTTTGGAAAAACGCTCAGACCCGTCGATTTTGTTTTCGAGGAGGACACAAGTTTGGCAAAAAATCACGTTAACACGTGCAGCCCCCTCGGCGGGGGTGACACCAACACTAAAATCTTAAATGGAAAGGGGGGTCGAGTGATACCTTATTTTAAAGGTCTTTCAATTTCCTTTATAATGATGTGAAATACATGAGCTTCAGTTCAGTAGTTTTGAAGATTTATTGATATATAGATGTTGATATTAGAAATAACTGTTTTGCCACAAAAAACGCTTCAATAGCTATTTTCAACAACAAAATGATATTATGATATTTACTTATTAAGTAAATTCTTTTAGTCAAATTTCTTCTGAAAGTAGTACAAACTAATCTGATCTACCTGTTAAAGTCTACTTTAAGCTTTAAATCAATAAATCTTCAAAACTCCTGAACTGAAGCTCATGTATTTTACATCATTATAAAGGGTATTGAAATACCTTTAAAATAAGGTATCACTCGACCCCCTTTTCCATTGAAGATTTTGGGGATGGTGTCACCTCCGCTTAGGGGGCTGCACGTGCTAACGTGATTTTTTGCCAAACTTGTGTCCCCCTCTAAATCAAAATCGACGCGTCTGAGCGTTTTTTAAAAAAACTGAGCTGCCTGTAAATGCGTCTGTTTCGTTATCGATGCGCCACCCTGTATAATTCCTATATTACAATCATAGAAGAAATGAAAGAATGAAAAAATATTCTGTGGGTAGGTATTGCATCTTGGAATTTTTTAGGATTATGTGGTAACGACTTTTTGGAATTAAAAGTCGCATATTTTGGTTCCAGTAACATAAAATGGTCATTTGAACTGTCACCACTGGCTTCTCGCAACTAAGAGAGGTAAGAGGTTTTCTTTATTTTTTCCTGACTTTATTTGAGATGGAATTCCGAAAAAAAGTATATTAACATATTCACTTCTTCTTCGCTACAAGCTGACATAATTAGAAATTCAATATGACGTCTCTTGTCCTCAATCATTATTTTCGTACAGACGCCATATTAGATTTTTGCACAAGTAAAAAGAATGTTTAATTCATAAATATTTTCTTAGTGGTTAAATATAAAAAATTCCATATAATATTGGGTTCTTAATTTTATATTTAAAATAAACATCATGTTTCGCCACAACATTTGCATTACATAGAATTGAATAATCATTACCACGATTATTATGCAAGGGGGAATATGGATTCCCATTTACAAAATTGCAATAGTAAGGTAACTAGCAAATCCATATTTCAGACAGAGCTACTGGAATTTAATGAACTACGAACATTTCACGGACCGTGGAAATTATTAGACATGCAATTTTTGTTTCTCTAAATATTTATGTGTTATGTGAGTTTTGTAGTTTTTTTAAAGAAATCATATTAAATGAATCTTGAAAAAACAAAAAACCTTGAAAACTGGACTGTGTTCCTCACTCCGAACTTAAAAATGAAGAGAACACTTGTCTATACTAAGTGACATATAAATCCGAACACCCAGTTTAAATGGTTTTATTTTAATAAAATTTTGTATAAGTACTTAATGAAGCATAATAAGTAAATGATAAAAATTTCAAAATGATTGCACTGCTTTAAAGCCCTTTGGCCTTTAATAATGTGTGGATGCACCCTGATGTGCTACGCATTCTCCAACGCGCCTAGCCATGCTTCCGATCAGGTGGTCAATGTCCTCCTGTGGTATCTCATTCCAGGCAACCACCAACTCCTCTCGTAGTGCTTCTAGAGTCTGAGGAGGACGTTGCAAATTGAGCAATCTCCTACCCATCATATCCCACACGTGCTCAATTGGGGATAAGTCGGGATATCTTGGTGGCCATGGTAACAATGTGACATCATTATGTTGAAAGAAGTCTATTGTGACTCTTGCAACATGTGGTCGGGCATTATCTTGTTGGAAAGTTGGATCTGCCAGGGTGTCAAGATAGGGTAAAAGATGGAGTTCTAGAACCTCTGATGAAGATTAAAGGTGACCTGGAACCATAAACTATAGCGCCCCAAACCATAACTCCAACAGTGTGATGAACATGTCTTTCAACAAAAAACTGTGGATTCCTCCTTTCACCACGTCGCCTTCTAACCCTGGCACGACCATCGCGCATGCCTAAACAACATCGAGACTCGTCACTAAAGACAATACTGTTACATTCCTGATCCCAGAGTGACCGTTGTCTGCACCACTCAAGGCGATTACGTCGGTGTTCTCGAGTTAAAGGGAGGACCCAGTGTGGCCGGTATGAAAACAAGCCAAAACTTCTCATTCGTCGGTAAACACTTTGCATGCCAATAGGTCTTCCGTGTTCTGCAAACCATTCATTTGCAATGGACCTGGTAGTGGAGAAACGGGCCCTTAAGGCCAATAATATTAGGCGGCGATCTTCACGGTCTGTTGTTCTACGGCGGCGTCCAGTGCCCCTTGCTCTTTGCGTACGGCCTTCTCGAAGCCATGCCTGACAACACCTAACCACAGTGTCTACACTTCTTTGCACTCAATTACCCGAAAAGAAAGTCCAGCTTCCCGAAGTCCCACTATACGGCTCCTATCAAACTCACTAAGTTGACGAAATCGTACAGGTCTCCGTACTCTAGGCATCGTAACCGATCGAAAAGGATGTCAAGAACCAAAATCCGCGAACGTTGATTCTTTACTGCGGCTGAAATATTCATTAGTGAATTAAAAAAAAGCAGTATAAAAACCGGAACTGATAAGGCTGAAAATTTTTTCACTTGTTATTTACAGTAAGATAAATACATTCACCAACTTTTATTAAAATAAAACCATTTAAACTGGGTGTTCGGATTTATATGTCACTTAGTATATATAACCTACTAATATTAGCAGAGGTTGACACCACTTGACATTATATGTCAAACGAACCCATGCCCCAAAATTCTAGAAAAACCTAAAAGCAAAATCACGATGAAAACAGTAGTTTCGGAAACCGGCGTGGAAGTTCTGTATCCGTGCACAATCCATTTGTCCAACGATGAAGTTTGGGAATGTGAGTACAAGTCTGACCATAATGGAAAGGAGTTGCTTGACTACGTTTGTGAGAAGCTCAACTTACAGGATAGGGACTATTGGGGGCTGAAGTATGCGGATCAGTTCGAGCAGAGGCACTGGTTGGATACGAACGGACTCGTTCGGTCCCAGGTGAAGAATATCGGTTGCCCGCTGGAGCTCTTTTTCAAGTAAAAACAAATTTGTTGAACTATCTAAATAGAAGTATTGTAAGAGGGCCATGATTTAAGTAAGAACTGTTTTGTAATGGAGTCAGAAAAGCTTTATTTATGAACGTAGATATGTATATACAGGGTATTTCAGCTTATTGTTGCATAACTTTAAGATCCGATAGAACTTTTAAAATTAATGCATAAAGTCTATATAAACATGGGTCGAAAAATGCGTGGCTTCCGAAATACAGGGTGTTTAAATTTACTTTCTAAAATAGTTTTTTTTTAAATATTTCGAACAATATTTGATGTATAACAGTGAAAATTGGTATACAAGGGTTTTTTGGTACCACAAAACGAACCATGGGCATAGTTTTGCTGTAGCCGCTAGAGGGCGCTCTCTACTGTACCTGTAGTGTATTAAAATGACCGAAAAATTTTTCTTAGTGCAATTTTTTGTTTTTGAATAAAAAAACTAATTCTTCGCACTTTTCGACATAAAAAAGCTCTCTTGTGAGTTTTCGTTATAGTTAGCCGTTTTTGAGATATTTCGATTTTTAAGGTTTCAAGCATTTTTAATTATTTATGGGAAAATAATATTTTTTTTTACATTTTCGATTTGGGCATTACAAGTAATTAAGATGATCGTTTAGATTGTGTTTTTAAACACAGCAATAATTCCTAACTCCAAATAAACACAAAAAACAGAATATTAATTTGTTTAATTTTCCAATATTATCTTTATCAAATTAAATTAATTATTTACAACTAAAATGCTTTTAGTTAGGACAAACATACAAAATCTAAAGTAGTTGCTCGAATCCCAATTTTTTCAATAGACAATTCACATCTACGAATGATCATTATTTAAATAAGGCCTTATTTCATCACATGCATTCCTGATTCTGTCTTTTAGCATATCTCTTGTGGTTACGGAAGTCTGGTACACTTTTTCTTTTAGAAATCCCCACACAAAGAAATCTAATGGATTTAGGTCAGGGATCGTGGAGGCCAGGCGACTGGTCCTCGACGGCCGATCGATCTTTCTGGATAATTTTCTTCCAGCCAGTTTCTAACTATTCTCGAATAATGAGCTGGACAACCATCAAGCTGGAACCAGGCCAATCTTCTTAAATCTAACTTAACATCATCCCACATATTTGCATGTTCAGCCTTTAAAAATTCCAAGAAGGTCGCAGCATTTAACCTTGCAGGCAAAAGGTAGGGTCCAAATAGTCGATTACGGTAGATACCAATCCACACGTTCACACTAAATTCATGCTGAAAATTTCTTTCCCGAAAAGCATGCGGATTTTCATGCGACCAAATATGTTGATTATGAAAATTTACCACTCATGACATAAAACGTTACTTAAAAACTCCCTATCATTATCAGTGCTATCAAGAATCCACTGACAAAATGTGATTCTTCGTTCTCCGTCTCCTGGCTGTAGTCCTTGCACAGGTTGCAAATGGTAAGGACGTCTATGGTCATTTCTAAGAACACGGTGAACATGGCTTGCTGAAATTCCCAAGGCACCAGAAACTCTCCTAACACTTGTGGTCGGATCTCTATCAAACTCACGCAGAATCATACGGGTAAATCTGCGCTGACGAACATTTATGTTTTGATCCCTTTGGGGATTTCCAAAACCACTTTCAATTATTTGGCGATGCACTCTTACAAATACTGAGCGAGTTGGATGTCGTCTGTTTGGAAATCTTCGTGCGTATTCTCTGGCTGCTTCTGCTGCGTTTCCATTTACAAAGCCATACACAAAATGAAGATCCGCTAACTCTTGATTGGAGAATAAAAATGGCATTTTTATAAAACTTACAAAAACAAACAGGTAAAAGAAACTAAATTTCGTGCATTCACAATTGCAAAAAACGTTTGAAGTTTCAACAGATAACAAAACTAACTGTCAACTAATTGACGTTTAACCTTATTCTGCTTTCAATTTCAAAAATATTTGCAAGCACAGCCTACTTCTAAAAATTATCGAGATACTGACTTTTTAACGTTATTTTATCATAAATAATTAAAAATGCATCGAACCTTAAAAATCGAAATATCTCAAAAACGGCTAACTATAACGAAAATTCACAAGAGAGCTTTTTTATGTTGAAAAGTGCGAAGAATTAGTTTTTTTATTCAAAAAGCAAAAAATTGCACTAAGAAAAATTTTTCGGTCATTTTAATACACTAGAAGGTACCGTAGAGAGCGCCCTCTAGCGGCTACAGTAAAACTATGCCCATGGTTCGTTTTGTCGTACCAAAAAACCCTTGTATACCAATTTTCACTATTATACATCAAATATTGTTCGAAATATTTAAAAAAAAACTATTTTAAAAAGTAAATTTAAACACCCTGTATTTCGGAAGCCACGCATTTTTCGACCCATGTTTATATAGACTTTATGCATTGATTTTAAAAGTTATATCAAATCTTAAAGTTATGCAACAATAAACTGAAGCACCCTGTATATACAGGGTTATCCAAATTAAGTGTCCACCATTAGTAACTTTGTTATTAGTGAAAATACAAAGTTGTTTGAATTAGCAAACTAGTAGCATTTTTAACGCTGGTAAAAATGAGAAATAAAAAAAAACAATTGAGAGTCGTTATTTTGACTTTTTTCAGTAAAATAACATTTTTTTAAATGGAAACCCCTGTATATTATATTTTTTTTTTGTTAAAGAATCAAATTTTAAACAAAAAAATTCATAATGAGTTTTCCGCTAAAGTCAAAAATAAAGTCAAAATAACGATAAATATTTTTAATTACTTGCAGTATTATAATATTAAGACGGCTATGAAAACAACATGGCGTTCGCGATTTGACAGCATCAAGATAAGCGACAAATTGTTAAACTGGACATACTCGCAACTAGAAGGCTTTGGAAAATAATGATTAAATCAAATAATGTCAAACATTAGTGTAAATACTTGTTTATAAGCTTTATTGTGTCATTAATTTAAAGAAAAATGTTATCCCATGAAGAAAAGTGTGATATGTTAGAATGCTATTTAGTGTGCAGAAAATCCTCCTTGAGAGCAAGTGAATTATATCCCGCTCGCATTCAACCGTATGAACGATATTTTCTGAGACTTTATCGAAAATTTAGGGGCAACGAAAATGTTTTTGCTAAAACAAGGGCAAAAAAAGAATTCATAATAAGCGAGGCCACGGAAATTGCAGTTATTGGATATTTTGAAGCTTATCGTGAGAATTCAATAGCAGATATTCTCAAGGACTCTAATTTCAGTTATGGTACTGTTCAAAGGATTTTAAAAAAATACAAATTTATTCCGTATAAGTACCGACCAGTTCAAACGCTTTTGGCAGGGGATCCAGAGAGAAGACTTGTTTTTTGCCATTGGTATCTTAGCTTCTGTCGCCAAAATGTAAATAACTTTCGTTACCTTTTATGGACAGATGAATCAAATTTTTCAAATTCTGGAATGTTTAATAGAAAAAACCACCATTATTGGTCAAGAGAAAATCTTTTGTTAGTACATCCAAGAGGCCCACAAGTCCGTTTCAGTTTCAACGTTTGGTGCGGTATAATTGGTTCAAAAATTGTTGGCCCGTTCTTTTATGAGGGAACCCTAACTGGTGAAAGATATGTGGAATTTATGTCAGAAATTCTGACTAATTTCTTAGACGAATTGGATCTTATAAGTAGACATCATCTGCATTTTCAGCAAGATGGCGCACCTGCCCACAACTCCAGAGGTACTTATCATTTTCTAAGTACTAATTTTAATGATCAGTGGATAGGAACAAATGGCCCAATACAGTGGCCTCCCAGATCACCAGATCTAAACCCACTTGATTACTTCTTGTGGGGTTACTTAAAGAACCAAATTTACAAGCGAAGGTACGATAACCTTGACGCGTTAAAGACTGCAGTTAGGGAAAAGATAACCCAGATAGATGGTAGGACCATACTTAAGACAGTTCGAGCAGTTGAAAAACGTGCCCAAAAATGTATTGAAGAACAAGGTGGTGTTTTCGAGCATCTTCTTTAAAAAAAATTGTTATTGTATTTTGTAAGATTATAAGTTGATGTTGAAAATAAAGTTTGTCGATTCAATTTAATTGTTTCAGATTGGAGGCCATAACTTCAACAATTTGTAACCTAGGAGAAAAGTTATTGTAAGCTTTTTTGTTTAAAATTTGATGCTTTAACAGAAAAAAATATAATATACAGGGGTTTCCATTTAAAAAAATGTTATTTTACTGAAAAAAATCAAAATAACGACTCTCAATTGTTTTTTTTTATTTCTCATTTTTACCAGCGTTAAAAATGCTACTAGTTTGCTAATCCAAACAACTTTGTATTTTCACTAATAACAAAGTTACTAATGGTGGACACTTAATTTGGATAACCCTGTATATACTAAAATATGGACATTTCCGTTTTATCGGATTCCCAATTTTTTTTGTTTGTGAAACGTTTATCAATACTTTAGTCAAAAACCAGATTGCATAGGCGGCTAGATGCAAACTAGTTTGAACTGTGATACACATAAGTAAACGGCATGCAAACTTTTAGTTTTTGACTTTCCATCGAAAAATACTTTAACTTTTGAAAAAATATGAAAGTCCAGGACTGTATTGAAGATGATCCAATGATCTTAAACAAATCTACGTATGTGCTGATGACGCCATGTGAGGCCGAGCGTTGCCGTGAAGTAGAATAACCCGCCTAATATTCAATAGTGCTCTCAGCATTTGTAGCGGGACGAAATTTTTTGCTTATAAAAACCGAATTACTGAGCGCACTTCACAATCGGCACTGATAGAGCGTGAAACGTAATGTCTTCTTAGGGAGAGACTGGCCAAGTTCTTACTTTTCGAATACGACAGTTTGGCCTTTTTTCTCATGGTCCACATTGGGTGCTACCTCTCACAGCTGAACATGGGCGTATATGTTTGTCGCTCAGTGTAGGTATCAAAAATCTTGGAATTTCCTGTTCATTCGATCTCATTTGTATTTTCTTTTCATTTTTTTTTTTTTTATATATCGAATCAGCCGCGCAGGCAGAAGCCTAAATGCCGGAACACCGCGGCTGCTATGATGATCCCAAAGAAATTTTGTTAATACGATTTTTGAACTGCCTAAGATTAGTAGAACTGGGAAAAGCTTCCTTCCGTAGGTTGTTCCACAATCTAGACACCCTCGGGACAAAGGAGCGGTCGTATCGGCCAGTTCTGGATGTACGAAGTTTGACACGGTTAGGATGGGACGTCGAAGTCAGGCGGGTCTGTCTGGCAGGCACATCGCGCGGCGGCATCATGGAAGAGAGCTCTGAGGAGCAAAGCCCGTTGGTGTAGCGATAGAAAAGAGCTAGATCGCCGACGGCCCGCCGGTGCGAAAGAGTCCCGAGACTGTCTGTTAGAGAAGAGTCATCGATCAGTCGGACCGCCCTCCTCTGGACAGCATCGAGCATGGACAATGTAGTCGGGGCGGCAGCACCCCAAATGTGTGAGCAATACTCGAGGCTAGGCCTTATCTGGGCCTGTATAGAGTGAGAAGGTCATGCGGAGAAAAGTACTTCTTAGCCCTAAACAAATAGCCTAGCTTTTTCCCAGCAGCTGCAGCTATTGAAGAGATGTGTTCGTGCCAGATCAGGTCCTCGGTGATCTGGACTCCAACCAGCCGAAATGAATGGCTCTTTGGTAGAACTCGACCGTCCATCGAAACTGTATGAGCGCTAGGACGCTTTTTGTTCGTCAAAGTACAGTACTGTGTTTTGGAAGCATTGAACTGTACAAGATTGTTGCGTCCCCAAGCAGTGATAGCCTCCAGGTCTCTTGTCAGAGAAGATGTCGTCGCTAGTCTTCTTTTTTCCAGCTCAGCGGCAGAGATCGGCTTGTCACTCTGAATTCCTGCATGTAGAGTGCTGTCATCAGCGAAGCTGTGGATTGGGTTGATCGTGCAGGAAAGGAGGTCGTTGATATGTAAGAGAAACAGTGTTGGAGCCAAGACCGATCCCTGGGGAACACCCGCGTTGACGTTGTGGGATGAAGAGGAGAATCCGTCAATTACGACGGATATCTTGCGGCCAGAGATAAAGTCAGCCACCCATCTGCAAAGCTTTTCTGGGAGGCCGTAGGATGGAAGTTTGCTCAAGAGGGCAGCGTGCCACAGCTGATCGAACGCTTTCGTGATGCCAAGAGCAACGACATGAGCCTCACCATGAGACTGGATGAGTTTACTCCACAGTTGCGTGACGTAAGCTAGGAGGTCCCCTGTGGATCGTTGGTGCCGGAAACCGTACTGCCTGTCGCTAATCAAGCTGTGACGTTCGAGGTAGTCCAGAAGCTCGCGATTTATGCACCTCTCCATCACTTTACTGATAACAGAAAGCAGAGCTATAGGCCTGTAGTTGTAAGGGTCGGTTTTAGATCCTTTTTTTGGGATGGGCTGTACATGAGCAAATTTCCAGTTTTCTGGGAAGGTGCCGGATTCATAAGATATCTGGAAGAGACGCGAAAGAACTGGAGCAAGCTCAGCTGCACATCTCTTCAGTACAATGGCAGGAATCAAGTCCGGACCAGAAGCTTTGTTGATGTCGAGCGACAAGAGCACTCGTCTTACGGTCTTATGCCTGAATGTTACCTCCCGCATAGTGTGGGGAACCCTTTGAATTGACGGCACTTGGGCGTTGGTGGGGACGTCCATGGCGGAGTTGGCAGCAAAGATCTTGGCTAGCACTTCCGCCTTGGCCTTTGAGTCGAATACAATAGTTCCATCCTGACACGTGAGTGGTGGAAGGCTACTGTGTGAGAAGTTCTTTTCAATCTGCTTGGCCAGCGTCGAGCGTCCAGAAAGACCGACTGCCATTGCGCTGCGACATTACCCTGTGCCCAACTTTTATATCATGCTGGGTTTTGGCATTGCGAACCGCTTCGTTATATTTGTTTCTGGACTCGACGTCGGCTTGTCTGTTCTCTACAGTGAGGTTTTGTAAGTAGGTTCTGTGGGCCTTGATCTTCTGCTGGTCATACACCACAAAGTATGTTGGAACATTTTTTTTTTATTTTTCACGCTGTAATAAAGTTTCAATAAAACGCGGATTCTCCTGAATTGTATTCTAAAGAGCGAGAGGCGTAAGGTTGTGTATTCGGGATTTCTTGAAAATTGTGCTTCATTTTTTAGTATCCACGTCTAAGCAAAGGTTGAGGTTGGTTAATTTAAATCTAATTCTGTTTTAGATTAAAAGTATATCCACCAGAACCGTACAAATTAGCAGATCCCGTAGCCAGAACCCAGATATTCTACCAATTAAGATCGGATCTTTTACAGGGTACTCTGAGTTGTGGAGCTAGCAACGATGCGTCACTTCTCGTTGCACTTTTGCTCCAACACATTTATGGAGATTATGATTCTAACATTCACATAGGTAACTAAATAGGCCCTGAAAACTGATGGTCATGTTCAGTTGATCAAACAAGTGTCGCTCAACTTTATGAATCAAACTCGATCGGTTACCAACTGTCCACAGCCTTCAGAAATCCATTTGCTGAACATGACGAATATGTAGCATCACAAAAAATGAATCTATTCAGTTATAAAATAATAGCAACCAAAATACCAGCTGTATACAGGGTGTCCCGAACAAAATGAAAAGTAGTTGTGCAATTCTCAAGTGGCTTCACGATGTAATGGTTAACTTTCGTTTTAAATATTTTTAATCTGTTTTTAATTTGTTCTTGTCATACAGCTGTGTGTAGTTTGTATAATTTTGACTATTGTAACATGTATCCAGCTTTCACCATGTTACTGGGTGTTTACCTTATCGTTAACGTAAATAACATAAAGCAACATCCTCACATACTACTCTCCTGATGAGGATGGCAAAGACCATTGAAAGCTAGAGAGATTAAAAAAAGTATAGAGTCCTCCTTGCTTAAATTTTGTCGAAGTACCCAACAAAATACGAGGTATGTCTTTTAAGTTTTGCATATGGAAATAAAACAACACGGTAGGTAGTTTTAAATGACTTTATTGTTTTTCGAAGTATTCTCCACGAAGATTAATACACATCTGCATGCGCTCAAACCAATTTTTGAAGGACTTATACATTTTGTGTTTTGTGATACCCTGTATAGATATGCATTTCTTTTAGATCAGATAAAAATTGATGATAACAGAATTTTTCTAAGTATCTTCAAAGATGGCGAAGCTGCGAGTCGTCAAAGTTAGGCATTTTTTCAGATATTCTACTAAATAACTAAGCAAATGAAAATATGTTATATGATATCGTACTTTTTGTTAGATGTTCTATCCAAATATGCATCATAATATAGGATATTCTATTTAAAAAATGTGTGCTATGGCACGAGGTTATTGAAGACCCTGTATATATCAAAATAATTTTAAAATATGCACTATGCACTTATCAAGGTTGCCACGAAAATGGGTTTTTGATATCTTTTTCAGTTTGCTCATAAAAATGCTTTCCGTTTTCGTTTGGACACCTTGTATAGACATAGCCAAGGTAAAAGTGCTGTTCTACGTTATCAGTGTGAAAATTTTGGTTAAAAATGTGCGCGTATAGAAGTCGATTGATATCGATGGATATATGACAGTAATTCCAATAGTTCCACAGTGAAGGGACATGTGTTTGTAGGGACTTTTTTGTTATTTTTGGATGTGGTTTCTAATCCAGAAATGTTGCCATGTTTTCCTAAAAGTTTGAGATTGTATAAAAGCGACGGAAAATGTGGCAGCCTTTGAAAGGCATATAAGAGAAATATTTGCACTCCGTAGAGGAATATTTAAACTACATATGCCTTTTATACGCTTTGCCAGTACATATAAAAGACTGCATAAATACATATAGCTTCAAGAAAACATTGAAAGCTTATTTAATAGAAAAGGCCTTTTATTCACCGAATGAATATCTTAAATGTCCATAGTTTTTTTGATGTAATGTTTTTGTGCTATGATGCTTTCAAATGAGAAATTGTGCCCTCAACGCGTTTATTTCCCCTCATGTTGACGTTGTTTATGCTTCCTACTGTAAACCTTATGACAATAAGTAGGTATACGTTATTTCAAGTTGTTTTGTTTGTTTTATATACTAAGTGACATATAAATCCGAACACCCAGTTTAAATGGTTTTATTTTAATAAAATTTTGTATAAGTACTTAATGAAGCATAATAAGTAAATGATAAAAATTTCAAAATGATTGCACTGCTTTAAAGCCCTTTGACCTTTAATAATGTGTGGATGCACCCTGATGTGCTACGCATTCTCCAACGCGCCTAGGCATGCTTCTGATCAGGTGGTCAATGTCCTCCTGTGGTATCTCGTTCCAGGCAACCACCAACTCCTCTCGAAGTGCTTCTAGAGTCTGAGGAGGACGTTGCAAATTGAGCAATCTCCTACCCATCATATCCCACACGTGCTCAATTGGGGATAAGTCGGGAGATCTTGGTGGCCATGGTAACAATGTGACATCATTATGTTGAAAGAAGTCTATTGTGACTCTTGCAACATGTGGTCGGGCATTATCTTGTTGGAAAGTTGGATCTGCCAGGGTGTCAAGATAGGGTAAATGATGGGGTTCTAGAACTTCGTGGATATAACGCTGCGCGTTCATGTTACCTCTGATGAAGATTAAAGGTGACCTGGAACCATAAGAGATAGCACCCCAAACCATAACTCCAACAGTGTGATGAACATGTCTTTCAACAAAAAACTGTGGATTCCTCCTTTCACCACGTCGCCTTCTAACTCTGGCACGACCATCGTGCATGCCTAAACAACATCGAGACTCGTCACTAAAGACAATACTGTTCCATTCCTGATCCCAGAGTGACCGTTGTCTGCACCACTCAAGGCGATTACGTCTGTGTTCTCGAGTTAAAGGGAGGACCCAGTGTGACCGGTATGAATACAAGCCAAAACTACTCATTCGTCGGTAAACACTTCGCATGCCAATAGGTCTTCCGTGTTCTGCAAACCATTCATTTGCAATGGACCTGGTAGTGGAGAAACGGTCCCTTTAAGGCCAATAATCTTACGCGGCGATCTTCACGGTCTGTTGTTCTACGGCGGCGTCCAGTGCCCCTTGCTCTTTGCGTACGGCCTTCTCGAAGCCATGCCTGACAACACCTAACCACAGTGTCTACACTTCTTTGCACTCTAACTGCAATTGCCCGAAATGAAAGTCCAGCTTCCCGAAGTCCCACTATACGGCCCCTATCAAACTCACTAAGTTGACGAAATCGTACACGTCTCCGTACTCTAGGCATCGTAACCGATTGTAAAGGATGTCAAGAACCAAAATCCGCCAACGTTGATCCTTTACTGCGGCTGAAATATTCATTTTTAGAGCGTTAGTGAATTAAAAAAAAGCAGTAAAAAAACCGGAATGTCCAACTGATAAGGCTGAAAATTTGTTCACTTGTTATTTACAGTAAGATAAATACATTCACCAACTTTTATTAAAATAAAACGATTTAAACTGGGTGTTCTGATTTATATGTCACTTAGTATACTATGTTTATGTATATGACTTTTTTTGCAATACTGCTTTATAGTCAAATGGTAATAAAACGTCTATTCTATTCCTTCAAATCTTCAATAATACTGTCAACGGGCAATTGCAAATTTCTTAAAAGTAATCAGTTGATAGGAAACACTCTTGTCTATGTCGCTACCTTAAGACGACCCTGTCTTACGAATGTATTTTGGACCCGAGATATTTTACATTCTACGTGCTCAATGTAAAGTTAACGATATTCCTTAGGCCATTACATCAAGGAAAAATTCCTGTTGAATCAAACATTTGCGGTAGAAGCCAAAGCCATCGAGATACACAAACTTCATCTTGTTGGCCTGACAAAAGAGCAAACAGAAGACCTTTTCCTGAGAATGGCTTGTCAGTTAGAAACGTATGGCGTCGATCCTTATCTCGTTGAAGACGAGCAAGGTGTGAAATTGACACTCTGGATCAACCATAAGGGGCTGATGACCTACCATGAGGCCAAAAAGGTCCATCATATGGAGTGGATGAATATATGCAAAATTTTGAGGGAGCAGAATAAGCTCGTCGTGTATTTGATGTCAGGTATCGTTGATTTTGTTTTGCCGGACTAGTAAAGCCCAAAACCACAGCGTCTGTCAGTGTCAAAAACGAACTTTATTTATAAGATTGCAGTCAATAATAGCATCTGCGAAAAGTTGGGAAATTTCGAAACTGGAGGTACTACAGACCAAAATATGTGTATTGATCTAAACCAATAACGTCTTACCAAATAGACCCTGCAAGTCATGCATAAGTCCGCCGTTTGTTATAATCGCGAACTTCAGTGGCGGGAAATACTAACTTTCATTCATAATTTTATGAAATGGCCGAGTAACAAGGACACATCCGGTTGTTTGCATTTACACTGTTATGATTAATAGGATACGTTTCATCTGCTCCATATAAAAATTTTACCATGAAATAATCTCAGTTGGCCGTGGCGGAAATCGAACAAACAGCTGAGGCTGTCAGGTTGACATTTCGCCGCGTCATGACCAACCAAGTGCAACGTTGCCGTATATAAACGTTAATCACAAATATGCAGAAAATACTCGTTTTGTATTAAAATTCGCGTATTCTTCACTTGTTCTATTAATTATTATAGATTTATAAAAATATTCATAAATTTCCTCTAGAAGAACTTTTCTGCAACAGAAATAGGTTTGGCTAGTTGTGGATACCATGGTGTCAATGTCAAAACGACCGTGGGGCCAACTTATTTGGCGACATCGCAAAAAAGAGTGAAGAACTTTTGTAAACATTCCAGGTCTACTTGGGCAAGACGTTATTGATCTAAACACACCTTAGTCTAAAATTTGATAGTTTGCGAGATACAGGGTGTAAAGTTACAATTTTATTTTCTATTTTTCCTTATTGCTTGAGAAGTAATTCAGATTTTAGCGTAAAACTCGGTACAGGGAGATTTTTTAGTGTGGGAAACAAGAATCCGTTATTTTTTGTGTCCAAACTTCTAGAGGGCGCCACTTATAGCACTATTTCGGTAAGTAACTTATCATAACTTTTTTTTGCTACCCTGTATACAATAACTGACCGAAAAATCTTGTTTTCTCGTATTTCCACAACAGGTTTACATGTTAAAAGTGTCTAAAGCTGATAGTTTTCGAGATATTTGTTTTTAAAAGTACCAATGTGTATATTAAAATAAAACATATCTTTGATGTGTTTACCATCTATACAGGGTGTCCCGAAAAAAGTGTGCAATATTCTACCAGCGGTTTCTAGAGCTTAAAATAGAAAGAAGAGTTTATATAGACATAGGCCGACAAACGTCCCCTAAGGGCGCTACGGTCTTTTAAAGGGGCTCCCGTGAAGATGGTTTTCCCTTAATATTTACGAAACGTGTCGAGATAAAGACATAAAATTTGGTATTCTAGCCTAGTTTTTTATACTGGATTTAAAAATATTAACAATTTTAGACACTTTTGTTTGGAAGCGTATGTAACAGGGGCGGACTCAGGTTAGTTTAGCCCCAAAATTTTTGTGTGATTCTATTTTTGAAATTCGATTTTAGAAAATCTAGTATAACTTCACGATACTGTATTTCTATTTCTCTTTAGGCCTTGCGGAAAAAACAATGAGATGTGCCGGAAGTGTACCTTACGCTTATCAATTTTAGTTGTAATTCGTATTTAAAAAAAACTCAACGAACTGCCGATTGAATGATACTTTTTTGTTGCAGCAGTAACCATCTATACCTCTTTATGATTTTAGTTATTCTGGGCTGAGCAAGAATTCTGTTGTAGGTGACTATGTGACGCTCTCTTGCTTGACTGTTGCTGAAAGCGAGTACATATTCTTCGGCGCTGTCCAACATCTCGCTATATTCACAAGTACCAGCACAAGATCGACGATAGGCCTAAACGGAAGCGAAAGCGCTGAAGGTATGTACGACGAGATCAGATCTTTGATGGCGGAAACGAACACCTTTGAAATTGCTACCGAGGAAGATTGCTACTTGTATGAAAGCGAATCCGGTACCGAGTGTGACAGGAAATCGGAATTGACATTTAGGAGGTACAGTCCTAGAGTTTGGCATATCGCTATGTGCATCGCTATATTTAGTATTGCCATGGAGGTGTGCTCGTTGTGGCGTTCCAAAAGTACGCCATATTACTGGTCGCTAATAGAAAAGTTTGTACCCAATAAACTATTCTAAAATATATATGTTTCTTTTTGAAGTGCCCCCTTGATTAATAAACGCTGGTTATATACAGGGTGGCCAATATACAGGGTGTTTCAGTTTATTGTTGCATGACTTTAAGATTCGATAGAACTTTTAAAATTAATGCATAAAGTCTATATAAACATGGGTCGAAAAAGCGTGGCTTCCGAAATACAGGGTGTTTAAATTTACTTTCTAAAATAGTTTTTTTTAAATATTTCGAACAATATTTGATGTATAACAGTGAAAATTGGTATACAAGGGTTTTTTGGTACGACAAAACGAACCATGGGCATAGTTTTACTGTAGCCGCTAGAGGGCGCTCTCTACTGTACCTGCAGTGTATTAAAATGACCGAAAAAATTTTCTTAGTGCAATTTTTTGCTTTTTCAATAAAAAAACTGATTCTTCGCACTTTTCAACATAAGAAAGCTCTCCTATGAGTTTTCGTTATAGTTAGCCGTTTTTGAGATATTTCGATTTTTAAGGTTCGATGCATTTTTAATTATTTATGGGAAAATCATATTTTTTTTACATTTTCGATTTAGGCATTACAAGTAATTAAGATGGTCGTTTAGATTGTGTTCTTAAACACAGCAATAATTCCTAACTCCAAATAAACACAAAAAAACAGAATATTAATTTGTTTAATTTTCCAATATTATTTTGAACAAATAAAATTAATTATTTACAATTAAAATGCTATTGGATAGTTAGGACAAACATACAAAATCTAAAGTAGTTGCTCGAAATGTAAACCCAATTGTTGAATACACAATTCACATCTACGAATGATCGAACGTTGTATAGCATTATTCAAATAAGGCCTTATTTCATCACATGCATTCCTGATTCTGTCTATAAGCATATCTCTTGTGGTTACAGGAGTCTGGTTCACTTTTTCTTTTAGAAATCCCCACACAAAGAAATCTAATGGATTTAGGTCAGGGGATCGTGGAGGCCAGGCGACTGGTCCTCCACGGCCGATCCATCGTCTAGATAATTTTCGTCCAGCCAGTTTCTAACTATTCTCGAATAATGAGCTGGACAACCATCAAGCTGGAACCAGGCCAATTTTCTTAAATCTAACATAACATCATCCCACATATTTGCATGTTCAGCCTTCAAAAATTCCAAGAAGGTCGCAGCATTTAATCTTGCAGGCAAAAGTTAGGGTCCAAATAGTCGATTACGGTAGATACCAATCCACACGTTCACACTAAATTCATGCTGAAAATTTCTTTCCCGAACTGCATGCGGATTTTCATGCGATCAAATATGTTGATTATGAAAATTTACCACTCCACGTCTAGTGAAGCATGACGCATCGGTCCATAAAACGTTACTTAAAAACTCCTTATTATTATCAGTTCTATCAAGAATCCACTGACAAAATGTGACTCTTCGTTCTCCGTCCCTTGGTTGTAGTCCTTGCACAGGTTGCAAATGGTAAGGATGTCTATGGTCATTTCTAAGAACACGGTGAACATGGCTTGCTGAAATTCCCAAGGCACCAGAAACTCTCCTAACACTTGTGGTCGGATCTCTATCAAACTCACGCAGAATCATACGGGTAAATCTGCGCTGACGAACATTTATGTTTTGATCCCTTTGGAGATTTCCAAAACCATTTTCAATTATTTGGCGATGCACTCTTACAAATACTGAGCGAATTGGATGTCGTCTGTTTGGAAATCTTCGTGCGTATTCTCTGGCTGCTTCTGCTGCGTTTCCATTTACAAAGCCATACACAAAATGAATATCCGCTAACTCTTGATTCGAGAATAAAAATGGTATTTTTATATAACTTACAAAAAAAACAGGTAAAAGAAACTAAATTTCGTACATTCACAATTGCAAAAAAACGTTTCAGGTTTCAACAGACAACAAAACTAACTGTCAACTAATTGAAGTTTAACCTTATTCTGCTTTCAATTTCAAAAATATTTGCAGGCACAGCCTACTTCTAAAAATTATCGAGATACTGACTTTTTAACGTTATTTTATCATAAATAATTAAAAATGCATCGAACCTTAAAAATCGAAATATCTCAAAAACGGCTAACTATAACGAAAATTCACAAGAGAGCTTTTTTATGTTGAAAACTGCGAAGAATCAGCTTTTTTATTTAAAAAGCAAAAAATTGCACTAAGAAAAATTGTTTGGTCATTTTAATACACTACAGGTACAGTAGAGAGCGCCCTCTAGCGGCTACAGTAAAACTATGCCCATGGTTCATTTTGACGTACCAAAAAACCCTTGTATACCAATTTTCACTGTTATACATCAAATATTGTTCGAAATATTTAAAAAAAACTATTTTAGATTTTAAATTGATCTACTGCTTGAATGCTTAGGAAATATAATTAAAACGACATATTTTACAAAGCAAAAAAATAATCTGAGCCAAAATTTAAAAAAGGCAGGATACTACCTACGCCAGAGCTGATAGCCCACTTCTGATCTTCCGAACCGCCGGAAGATTAATTGCTGAAAGCCAACAAGCCGACAGCCAATAACTATCAACAATACAGATAGATACCTGTAGACTACGTCCATATAGTGTTAAGGCACGCCAATTTGCGTGTCTGTAGCTTCTGCCCCGGGGCCCCAGTCGGGTCGTTCTGTCATTCTAACGTTCGGCGATGCCCCTGGGGGGTCGTAACAGCTCCGCCGGCCATTGAGTGATAATTACCGGTCACGAGATGCACGATAATCGGTTCCATTACTTCCCCGACGACAAGGACGTCTTAACTGCCGTAAGTATGGCGTTGAGTCACACGCGAAACCTTGCTTAAGGGTGTCTCACAACGAAGAAGCATTTGAGTAAGAGGTCTAGATATAAAAACAATTCAGACATCATTTGCATAAGCATAAAGTGGACGTCGGCAAAGTTTATAGATAAACGATGAGTTTCGGAGGGAAAGGAGACTTAAGATTATTCTAGTTAAAATTCTCCTAATAGTCCTTTTTAATTATTGCAAACAAACGTGCAGCACCGCCCCTCAAACATTGTAAAACCCGTAAAACTGTTTTAAGGCTGATCCGCATTGTCAATGCAATCAACGCATCCCAGACTGATAAAAATTAATTTCGCCAAACTAAATAATGCACGGTCAACATCAAAGCGTTCTCATTCGTTCGCAGTGCGCGTTAAAACAAATGAAAATGAACGAATTTCAGCGATTCAACAGCAGAGGCGTAGTCAGAAATTATATTTCAATTGGTCTGAGAAAAAACAGGAACTTGAGACAGCACAAAGTGGCATCTATTACCATTGCGAGAGTGAAATATCACATAGTCTATTATGGTAATAGATGACACATTTGCGCTGCCTATCTCGATAGACATTGTAAAGCGTATAGAGGATAGAGAATAAAGGATCGAGCATAGAGAATATTGGATACAGATTAGAGGATAGAGGATGGAAGGTAGAGGATAGAGGATAGAGGTTAGAGGATAGAGAATAGAGGATAAAGGATAGAGGATAGAGGAGAGATAATAGAGGATAGAGGATAGAGGATAGAAGATAGAGGATAGAGGATAGTGAATAGAGAATAGAGAATAGAGGAAAGAGGCTAGAGAATAGACGATAGAGGATAGAGGATAGAGGATAGAGGATACAGGATACAGGGTAGAGGGTACAGGGTAGAGGATAGACGATAGAGGAAAGAGGATATAGGATAGTGGATAGAGGATAGAGGATAGGGGATAGAGAATAGAGGATAGAGGATAAGAGGATAGAGGATACATGATACAGGATAGAAGATAGAGGATAGAGGATAGAGGATAGAGGATAGATAGATAGATAGGGGATAGAGGATAGAGGATAGAGGATAGAGGATAGAGGATAGAGGATAGAGTATAGAGGATAGATAGAGGATAGAGGATAAGGATAGAAGATAGAGGATAGATGATAGAGGATCGAGCATAGAGGAGAGAGGATGGAAGGTAGAGGATAGAGGATAGAGAATAGATGATAGAGAATAGAGGATAGAGGATAGAGGATAAGGATGGAGGATAGAGGATAGAGAATAGAGGATCGAGCATAAAGGAGAGAGGATGGAAGGTAGAGGATAGAGGATAGAGAATAGAGGATAGAGGAGAGAGGATAGAGGATAGATAGAGGATAGAGGATAGAGGATAAGGATAGAGGATAGAGGATAGAGGATAGAGGATCGAGGATAGATGATAAAGGATAGAGGATAGAGGATAGAGGATAGGGGATAGAGGATAGGGGATAGAGGATAGGGGATAGAGGATAGAAGATAGAGGATAAAGGATAGAAGATAAAGGATAGAGGATAAAGGATAGAAGATAGAGGATAGAGGATAGAGGATAGAGGATAAGGATAAGGATAGAGGATAGAGGATATAGGATATAGCATAGAGAATATAGGATATAGGATATACGATAGAGGATATACGATAGAGGATATACGATAGAGGATAGAGGATAGAGGATAGAGGATAGAGGAGATAGAGGATAAAGGATAGAAGATAGAGGATAGAGGATAGAGGATAGAGGATAGAGGATAGAGGATAAGGATAAGGATAGAGGATAGAGGATAGAGGATATAGGATATAGCATAGAGAATATAGGATATAGGATATACGATAGAGGATAGAGGATAGAGGATAGAGGATAGAGGATAGAGGATAGAGGATAGAGGATAGAGGATAGAGGATAGAGGATAGAGGATAGAAGATAGAAGATAGAAGATAGAAGATAGAAAATAGAAGATAGAAGATAGAAGATAGAAGATAGAAGATAGAAGATAGAAGATAGAAGATAGAAGATAGAAGATAGAAGATAGAGGATAGAGGATAGTTGTTCAGCTTTCGTTGATTGCGCCATATGAACTAAGCCTAGATCATATTGACTAGCCAAAAAGCACGAAACAAGGTTGACAAGGTTATGCAAGAATTTATTGACTAATGGGATAGGTAGATCATGAATATTATGGCAGTTTTTTGCGTAATAAGACCAATTTTATAATCTACTCATTTTATGTTGATCATAATAGAACTGCATAT